AAATCCCTAGTCTAGAAAACCTTTTAATTTTAAACTGTATATCAAATAAATTGTTGTACGTATGTATATATTGTTCAGCAGTATACTTCCTAGTTTAGTTTTTCAATTTAAAACAAAAATCATACATAAGATTTTCAATGTTAAATTCGTTTAAATACGACATCATTATAAAAAAATAACCACATTATCTCTCTCTTTTGTCTAATTGAAGAAAACTGACTTATGTTCCATTGAAATTCCTCGTTTAACCATATATAGTTGGTATGTTAAAAGTGTTTATCAAACTACTATGACGGTTAGCAATCAAAGTATCTATATATATATATATTTAAGTAGAATGATCATCTTTTCAGACAGTTAAACTTTACGTAAACTAGTAGCACAAAAATTATTGTTTTGTAAATGTGTTAGTAAAAAGTAAATGTGGCTTAAACTGCGAAAAAAGGTACCAAATATCACTCTTTATTTTAAAAACAGCACAAAGAGATTTTGGTTATCGCCAAAGAAATTCATTCATACTGCAATGGGAAGCTGCAAACCTGATTTAATTTTAAACTAAACATTACTAAACAATGCATAATTTGAACAGATTAGCTTCAATTAATATCGATCGCCTCATGTATAATAATCACGGTATATATTTTTAAATCGGAGATCTAGATCAATACTGGGGAGAATAATAATGATAATAGTGATAAAAATATTTACTGTATTAATCATCTGACCTACTTTGTGCTTATAGTAATTGTTTTAGAACAAATATTGACAAATTTCTGTCTATCTGTTAATTTTCACTGACTAAATAAATATATTGTTAGTTATTTCCATAACTAATCAGATTTATGTCATCATAACTCACCAATCGAATTGTGGTTAAAGCGCTCACCACGTGCGTGATCTAATCTAACGTGCCCTTAAACAATCTCTGTTGTAAATGACTTACTAACTGAAGGACATTATTATCTTATCATATTGATTTCATTTCCATAAAACACGCTATGTTGGTCGGTATGTTTACCAGGGTTCACTAGATAACTAAACAGTTAAAGTTTAAAGCAAAATTGGTCTTGTGTTGGACTATAGCTTTGCCACAGACTCTGTGCTCTCCAATATTACGTTTACCGTTCTAGAATTACATCTGTAGGACAAATTAAATCCTACATATATTATGGTTAAATTTTAATCACTACTCACAAGTGTATATTTATAACAATCACATTATTACAAAATAAAATGTAAATTTCTATTAATGTGAACATATTATTTTTGCACAGTGTATTTCATTTTCATTTTAATTTGATAAAAATAAATTTTAATCTCATAACAATGAGTGAAATTATCTGCAAGACAAAATTGACAAATCAAGAGAACTTAACGTATTAATATGATACTTTATTATTAAGTCAAAAAACAAACTTGATTAACTGATTTTCACATATTTGAAATCATAAATCAATCATTGTTAGATCACTATTAGAAACCTGGAAGCACTGGACGGACGTTTCGTCCTGGTATGGGACTCATCAGCAGTGCACACCCACGACTCAGTGGTTCAGAGGTTAGCCGTTGGTCCAAATCTTGTGAGGTACAGGAGTCGTGGATGCGAGTTGCTGGTGAGTCCCATACCAAGACGAAGCGGCCGTCTTTCAGTGCTCCCAGGTTCCCAATAGTGATCTAACAATGGTCGAATAATGATTTCGAATGTGTAGTAACACTAATCTCCATAACTCTAATTGATAATTGATTTTCATTCAGCAGAATATTGGAGTAATAAATTTATTCGAAATATTTCGCTAACAGACAAATTATGAAACACAATATACACAAAATTTGACTTTCGAAACAATTCTATATTAAATTGTTGAATATTTAATTTCAGCATTAACAATTTTGGGCTATTTTTAGAAAGAAAAAAAAACCTTGATTACATAATAAATAACACAAAATTAAAAAAAACAACCTGTAGTTATCTATTTTCTAAGTTATGCATAAAATCACTTTCCGGATAATTTTAATACAACGATAAAACAAATAACTTAGGATTTTTTTTACACTACTTTGCTAATTCAGTAAATTTCATCGGTTTGTTTGGTACTTTTGCGTACAATTATGCGTAGGCAAGAATTAGATAATATGAACAATTTAACTACGCATTACGAAATATATTTTATTTTGCAAAGTGTAACGAAGTGGAATTAAAGTAATAGATCATTAGCTTCTAATTGTGACATTATTTGACTTTCAGTGATTACCGCCAGTAGTTGAGTTAACTAATCATCTGAAACCGAAATATAAACTCACTGAACAGAATCACTACAGTTCATTGAAACTCATTCATCCAAAGAAGTACGCTATGTAAAGCTTTAGAATTTATTACATAATTAATGTTCTGTGACTGAAATTAGAAGTTATGGTCTGCACGGAAACAATTCATAAAATGTGAAGTGAAATAATTGTATTATGCGTCGCCTAATATTTATCGATTTAATTTATACTACTTACGAGTAACTAAATTTGCATTTCAAAAATTTGTGGTTTATAGAGGCCTTGGCTATTCGTAAATTAAAACCCCCCTTATATGTGCAGAAACAATTTGTCATAACCTTGAATTTACCCTGGTACTCTTTAAGCCTATGGTAATGTGACAATTTTCCTACCCTTTCTTATTCTTTTTATATTACGTTAATTTTCTCTCTCTTTTATTTACAATTATCACCTTATGTCTATTTTAACTGACCTTTTATTAATCTTAATATATAATGACTTGACAAGTAAATATTTATGACCAGATAGTTAGATGCAAATACATCACATTTTTCAGATCAATTACGTCTTCACACTAGTCTATCAAAATTTATAAAAAGGAATAATAGTTTTAAATTAAAACTTTCTGTAATTCAATGACCGGTTTTATATTTTCTGATATGGTACTTCAGTACAATACTGCAAAAATGTATTTCGTCATAACCAAAATAACCGTAAAATCCTGATTAAAACGCCTGTAAATTAATTAATTAATGGCTTCCAAAAATACCATAAACACACCCACCAATGACTCTTTTCAGTCGTTTGTAGAAATCTTAATCTCTATAATCTGATTTACATTTCTAACCTATACTCAATAAATATAATACTTAGTGGAACTACCAAGTTTATTCAGAATGATAAAATTTAGGGTTGTGTCGAGGACACTTCGTATTGAAACTAAGATAATCACTAATTTATACTAAGTATTAATATTTGACCATCAATTAACACCTAGGCGGATGAACCAGATTGTTTTCAGTGAGATCCTTATCAAACTCCACTGTAATGTACATAGATAATAATGTCTTAACTGACTAGATTTATGAGACATGAAAAATTCGGTCTAATATTAAATCATTGGGTGTGACCTTATGAATGAAGATGCAGAGACCCGATTAGCTTCATACATCTTATCTTGGGGCACAGACAAATGGGTGAGGTCGCGCAAAATCCCTAGATTAATCAGAGTTAGACATTAACACCTTGGATGCCGGACCAGTGATCCGGTGATAAGGCGTTCGCCTACAATGCCGAAGTTCCCGGGTTCGAATCCTGCGAGGAGCAGGAGTCGTGGACGCGCACTGCTGACGAGTAGTCCCATACCAGGACGAAACGGCCGTGTTTCAGTGCTTCCGGGTTTCTAATGGTGGTCTGGTAACAATGATTGATTGATGATTTCAAATGTGTAAAAGTGCATCTTATCATTGGAACAATGAAATAGTTCCAACTAACTCGAAATAAATAACTAACTATATACTAATTGTATATTCAATAAACCGGACATAACACATCATTTGTGATTGTAAAAATGAAATAAAATTCTTTCAATTGTCGCAATATCAACCACTTTTAAGAGCTTAGTGGAAATATACATCACAGAACAATTTCTTCATAATCTAAAACCTGTGTAAACTTGTGAAAATTTTTTATCAATTAAATATTTTTGTTAAAATGTTGTAAATTAATGTTTTTTGTTGGGAAAGGTTTTGATGTATAACATGATAGATTAAATATCTTTGTCTATCAAGATTGTTTACATTTTTTGCATCATAAGTAATTGATTTTTCCGTGGTGAAATTGACTCATTTATGACTAATTTCATTATGAAGTTATTGGGATCGTTGTTTTACATTGCAATTATGAATCAATCACCATCAGACACAACAACGATCTCCATAACTCTATAAGGAATAGTATACAATGTGCTCAGTAGTGACTAGCCTCATGAAGAAATTCTCTGAGTCCTAGTGAGAAAACATGACCATTGGAGTTCAACCCTGTTAGCTGTAGGGGGGTAACTACCGAAAACAAATGGGTGGGGTCGCACAAAATCTCAGCATTGATCAGAGTTAGACATTAAAGACGTTGGGTGCCGACCCAGTGATCTAGAAGTTAAGCGTTCTCGCGCAGGACCGGAGTTCCGTGGTTCGGATCCTGTGAGTAGTAGGAGTCGTGGATGCGCAATGCCACTGATGAGTACTAATAACGGGATATAACGACCGTCTTTCAGTACTTCCAGGTTTCTAATGGTGGTCTAACAATGACTGATTCACGATTTCAACCATAACTATTTAAAAATATATGAGTAATTTTAATGATTATTCCATTTGAACTAAACTGGTTTCAAGGTTGAATGTACTGAAATGTTATGCTGATCTTGTTTCATTGTAAAACTAATCCCTTCAATTCATTATCTGTACACCGAGTCTTATGCAGTCATATGCGATTCTAAAATTTTTGTTGGCATTAGTATGCTGAAAATTCGACATTACTACGTAATGATATTTTTTCATCGCTTGCCAATAAATTTTTTCAATCTGAACAATCGATATTTGTCTTCTGGGTATATAATAATCCCTTGAATGATTGATTATTCTATTTTTTTCGCTAATTTTAACACAAACATCTTTTCGCCTTTTTTTCTCTTTTCATCGTCAACATAACTATTATTCAACATGATCTCAATTGGGAAGAATACAAACCGAAAGCTGAATTATGCGGAAATGGTAATCTATGTTTGTATGGTGGTAAATGTTACGATCCACTGGAACATTATTATAGCGCCAAAAATAATCCCATGAAAAGAATTCCATCACAATTTTCCAATTGTATATGTGAACAAATTAATTGTTTAAATGAATGGCCTGATCCAGTTTGTGCAGATGACGGTGAGACGTATACAAATCAATGTTTTTTAAAACGTGCAATCTGTGAAACTCAATCAATGAAACGTTTACTTTATCGAGGCAATTGTGGTAAGAATTTAGAGTGAAATGTATAAACTAACAAATTTTGTTCTTGGTTAGATTAGTATGAAGCTATACTCTGACATTCGATTACATTCATCTATACACGCAAAAAGATAATACACAGATTATAGCAGTGAGTAAGTTCGTGATAACAATAATCTAGACATTGGTAGTAGTAGTTCTTGCAAATACTGAGATATTTTGATAGAACAGTGAGAAGACGTAATAGATCTGAAAAAAAGGTGATGTATTTGCGCCCTATACATTTCGAACAATCTGGTCACACACATATTTACTTATCAAGGCATTTTATATGAAGATTAATAAAAGGTCAACTAAATAGTGAAGTTCAACATGTTCGG